ATGGCAGCTGGGCCGCGGAGCTCGGAGTGTGGCTGGCGGGCCTTCACCCCCAAATGCCTGCAGGCCCTCAACACCCCGCGGGGCTTCCTGGGCTTCCTGTGCGCTGCCTCCTTCCTGCAGGGCATGACCGTGAACGGCTTCATCAACACGGTCATCACCTCCATCGAGCGGCGCTACGACCTGCACAGCTACCAAAGCGGCCTCATCGCCAGCACCTACGACCTGGCCGCCTGCCTCTGCCTCACCTTCGTCAGCTACTTCGGCGGCAATGGACACAAGCCCCGCTGGCTGGGCTGGGGTGTGCTGCTCATGGGCGCCGGCTCGCTGGTGTTCGCGCTGCCCCACTTCACCACGGGCCCCTACCAGGTGGAGGTGGACGAGGGCCTCGGGCTGTGCCGGGCCAACCGCAGCGTGGCATGTGGGGACCGCGCCTCGAGCCTGTCCAGCTACCGGCTGGTCTTTATGCTGGGCCAGTTCCTGCACGGAGCGGGTGCCACGCCCCTGTACACGCTGGGGGTCACCTACCTGGATGAGAACGTCAAGTCCAGCTACTCGCCCGTCTACATCGGTGAGTGAGGCCGGCGGGGGCGTGAGGGACAGGCAGTGTGACAGGCGTCTGCTCAGAGGCTGGCCCCTCTGCGCACTTTGCCGGTGGCCGCACACGGCCTCGGTGCGCTGAGGCGAGGGGAGGACTCCCAGCGGCACCTGCGGTTGGCTCTGAGAGAAATGTTTAAAATCCCCTTCAAAGGTTGACCCCAGCCAAACCTCAGACACAGCGGAGGCTCTGATTTAAAGGGGTGCACCCAGTGGAGGGCAGACAGGCAGTGCAGGTGTGGGTGGCTGCTTCCCGGTGGACCCTGGTGTCTGCGTGTCACGTCCCGTGAGCCGGCGGGGAGCAGGCATGGCAGCCACCTGATGGCCCTGCTTCCCTCGCAGCCATCTTCTACACGGCGGCCATCCTCGGCCCCGCAGCCGGCTACCTGATCGGAGGCGCCCTGCTGAACATTTACACGGAAATCGGCCGACGGTGAGTGGCGGGGCTCTCTCCTGTGGCACAGGAACCGCAGGAGGACTTGATGTCCCGGGGAGGGGCGTGAGGTGGAGCATCGCGTGGTCCAGGGCCTGCTGGTCTGCGTGGCTTTGAGAACAGGCCTGGGGCAGGAACGGTGTTGAGGACGGCCCCGAGCTGCAGACCAGGCCTCCGGTGCCTTTGCAGAACAGAGTGGCTTCGCCTGCGGCGTGAGATTCTTTTCCGTGGGCGTTTCCACGCCGAGCGCTTCCCAGACACCAGCTGGGTGTCCCAAATCCAACTGCATTCTGACCCTGACTCCCCAGTGTCAGCACAGACCCCATAGGATCAGGGCTCAGTCCCATGAGATGACCCCCAGAAAAGGCACCAGGTTCCCTTCCATTCGCCCTGGGGTCAACAGTGAGGTTCCCAGGACCGCTCGGCTCAGTGATGTGCTCCAGCGGCTCACAGACCTTGGGAGGCCCGTGACTCACTGGAGGAAACTACTGAGGAACAGATGGGTGTGCGGTGTGGAAAGGGGCAGAGCTCCGGACCCTCTGGTGCCAGCTCCACACGTTCACCCCCTTCTGTCAGGGTTTCTATGGCTTCCCTTCGTAGGGGTGGTTGGTTAACTCATTGCCCGCTGGTGGTCAGCTACCCCCCGGAGTTGGCATGGACCAAAGGTTGCCACTTGCTGACCTCGTGGTTGGTGTTTCTGGTGACCAGGCCCCTCGGAGGCTCTCAGGGGACCCGCCAAGAGTGGCCACATTCAAACAAAGACACTGCTGTCCCCCAGGAAATCACAAGGAGCCAAGGAGCTCTGTGCCAAGACGGTGAAGCCCAAACCTGCACTGCCTGTTAGGCCACAGTGTGTTTCTTTTATTCCTTGCATACTTTGCTTTGATACTAGGTTTTTTGTAAATTTGAGCAGGAGAGAGAGAGAGAGAGAGAGAGAGAGACAGAGAGAGACGAGAGGGCGGGGGGAGGCAGGAAGGGTCCAGTGGCCACTCGGCTCCAGGGGCGGCCCTGTGCCCCAGGCCCCGCCGTCTCGGTGGTTTCCCGGCCTTCTGAGCTGCATGGGGCACTGCTGGCTACCCTGACTCTCTCTGCAGATGGCGCGCCTCTGCCCTCGTACAAACGCCACCTGTGGCCTCAGGTTGACTAAATTGGGTGTCAAATGTGCACCTTCTGTGCAAGAGGTAGGTGGGGCCGTGTCCCTCACTCTCCACCCTCCCACTGGCCTGCGTGGACCAGCAAGTCAAGGGACACCCAGCTCACGTGCCCTGGACGCTGACCCCACTGCCTTTTCCCACAGGACCGAGCTGACCACCGAGAGCCCGCTGTGGGTTGGTGCCTGGTGGGTGGGCTTCCTGGGCTCCGGGGCCGCTGCCTTCTTCATTGCAGTTCCCATCCTCGGCTACCCGCGGCAGCTGCCAGGTGGGTGCCCCCCCGCCCCCCGTGTGCCAGCCCCTCTCGGTGTGTGAGCTGCTGAGAGCATAGGGGAGTCCAGACATGGGTGTCTGCCGGTCCTCCATCCTGCAGGGCGGGGCCGGCCAGCTGGGTGCCCCTCCCCTGGGGGCCACGGCAGAGCTTGTTTCGGTGGCCCCAGGTTGTCTGCCGGCTCTGTCCCACTCTGTGCCAGGGTGGGTCCGCACGCCCTCCGTCCCACAGCCGTCCATGTCCCGCAGGCCCTGAGTCTCCGGCATCTGTGTCCCTCCAGGCTCCCAGCGCTACGTGGCCATGAGAGCCTCCGAGACACACCAGCTGAAGGACAGGGGCCCCCAGGCGGCCCGCAGCCCCGGCTTCGGGAAAACCATCAGAGACCTGCCTCTGTAAGGAATTGGGGGGCGGTCACCTGCCATGCGCCTCTTGCCCATGCCCGTGTGTCCTGGAGACCCTCTGGGGGTCTCACACACATGGAATCTTGGCCCCAAACTAGGAGTGTTGGAGTGGTGAGCGCACAGCCCCTAAGCCCTCTTCATGACCCCTGGTCCCCAGGGGCGCGCCACTGACCTCAGGCCATGCCCCAAGAGTCGCCCCTAACTGGTCGCAGGCCCTCGCTCTGTTGCACCCTCCCACCACTTCACTAGGTGTTGCTTGCACGCAGCTCATGGGCTCCAGGCTAGCACCGCCCTTCCGGCCTCGGCGGGCCCTCGCTGCCCTTGCACCTGCCCCTCCGCCCAGCCGTGTGCAGGTCTTGTCCGTGTCTCCCCTCTCTTGTGGGACATGGTCTTGCTTTGCCATCCTCGTTCACAAATAGAGCCCTGCCTGGGCTGCTGGGGTCTCAGCAGGAGGCGGGGCCTGGGGGCTCCTGGCTGCCCAGGGCCCCTCTGCCCAGGATCGGGCCTTCCACAGGGGTCTCTCCCGCTCGCCAGCGCCCCCCACCCTGCAGTGTCCTGGGCCCGTTAACGGCAGTCTAACGGCCACGGAGGCTTGGGCTGTTGGCAGTGGGAGTGAGCCTGGTGCCTGGCTTCAGCGCGGAGGCTAAAGGGGCTCAGGGCCGACACGAAGGGCTCCACCTGCCTAGGGCTTGTTCTCCCCTCCCACTTCCTGTCAGATCCCCCAAAAGAGCCGCCCACTCAGGAGGGTGCCCCCCACAGGCGAGCTGGCCCAGGTCCACACCGTCCGGGGGTGGGCGCATTGTCTCCTGGCACACTCCCAGCTGGCGCCATGTGGGCACTGGGCCTGTCCCCAGTGGCCCGGGGATGTGGCTGACGTCAGGAAGTTCATGTCCAGGCTCAGTTCCCAGACCAGCTGCTGGTAGGAAAGCCGGTACGCATGCCTGTTAAATCATGACTAGTTCTCTGAGCAAATTCAAGCCAAGAATTTCAGTCGCACGTCCTGCAGGAAAAGAAACGAGGAGTGTGCTGGCCACTCCAGAGAGCCGCCTTCCTGCCCAGCCAGGGCCCCAGCATGTGGGCTGGTCTGGGCAAGGCAGGGAGGGACTGGCCACCCCTGGATGTCCCTCCCAAAGAACACAGACGGGACCTGAGACCTGTGCCTGGCGGAGAAGATGCTAGGGCGGCTGCCCTGAGCCGCCAGAGCCCCGCCGGCCACACCCACTACCGGCCACACCCACTCCGATGACATTTTGTCCACGGCCTTCCCAGTACCCTGTGAGGAAGCCAGCTTTGCAGGCACTGGGTTCCCCCTTGGAGCGAGGCCTGGTGAGGGCTGCCCTGAGTTCAGCTGAGCAAGTCACTCATGTCTGGAAAGACAGTGGGGGTGTCCTTCACTAGGCGGCCCCACCCGCCTGCTCCGAGGGGCGGGCGCTGCGGGGAATTGTGGCCCCTGCAGGCCTGCTGCTCAGATCCCGCGTCCTCCGAGAAGAGCGTTTCAGGGTCACGATGTTCCAAGTTGCTTTGACAGATGCTGGCGTGAGGGTGGCCGAGGCTGCCCTCGGGCAGGAGACCCACAGGCCAGGCACAGCTCCGGCCCTTTAGGGAGCAGCCCTGACCCCCTCGACAGCACCCAGAGCCACTTGTCAGCCACGTGTTAGTCACGTGTCACAGGACCTGCTTTGCTGTCAGCGTATGAGAGTGAGGCTGCCCCACCCCAGCCTGTGTCCCTCACCACTTCTGGGGACAGTGACATAAGCCATTGGCGACACCTCTGTGCTGGCCCCAGACGCTGCTGCGTGGCTGAGGGGACGGGGTGGCGGGAGAACAGGTGCAGAGAAAAGCCGTGTGGGCTGGGGCCCTGCTGCCCGCAGAGGCCCAGCCCCTCTATTTCCAGACCCCCCGGGGTTTTATGTCTGTTTCCATCCCAAGTTCTGCCTCCCTCACGACTGTCATTTACTGCCATTGATTTTTTTTTTTAATCCTCACCCAAGGACATGCTTAGAGAGAGGAAGAGAGAGACAAAGAGAGAAACATCGCTGTAAGAGAGAAACATCAATCGGTTGCCTTCCGTACACTTGTCAGTTGGGGATCAAATCCACAACCGGGGTATGTGCCCTGACCAGGAATCCAACCGGCAGCGCTTTGGTGCACGGGGCAGCGCCCAACCAGCTGAGCCCCCGGCCGGGCTCTCACGACATCTTAACAGTCTGAGTGTCGCACGTTTGAACAGTGCTGCACCGCTAGCGGCCTGCAGGACCCCCTCTTGCAGGGCCTGGCGCTCGGAGCCTCTGCAGACCGAGGCCCGGCTCCGAGTCCGACACTGTGACACGGGTCAGACACCTCCCCAGCGAAGCTTCCGGGCGTGACGCCAGCACCTCCAGGCTCACGGCCCACCTCCGACGCTCCTGAAACCCTGACCCACAGCCAGACCCACGGCCAAGTGGTCCCCAGGCTGTGCGGGGCTCCGAGTTCTCAGTCCTCAGAAGTGGGTCCAGGCGGGCCCACCAGGGAATCAGCGGCCAGGCTCGATGGCACCAACACCAACACTTCCTCGGGCCCCTGTCTTCACCCTCAAGTATACAGCAGGCGAAGCCGCGGAGCCGTCCAAGCCCACTGGCTCCGGGGGGCCTCTGTCTGCGGGCCTTCCTGCCCCCTCCCCACAGCTGCTGGTGGCGGAGCCCCACCCTCAGTGCCCCGTCCCCTTTCCCAGGGGCCCGTCCAGTCCACGACTTGGCAGCCATTGCCCCCAGAGGTGATTAAACAGTGACCTGGGTCACTCAAGGTCCCTCCTCACACCAAAGCCTGAACTCTGGCCAAGGCGGTGATAAGACTTCCGTAATCAGTGACAGCAGCTTTACAAGCCACAACCTCAGGATCCTGGTGCAAGTTCACTCCCTGCCACAGCCCAGCCAAACACATCCTCTTGGTTTCTCTGGAATGAATGTGGGGTGCCTCCCAGCTCATTGGCGACCCACTCTGTTCCTCACAGAACTGGGCCTCAGTGAGCTCAGGTGGGAAGGACCATGGCCTCAGGAGCTGGGCTTCCTCACACCCTGGCTCTGGCCCACTCTGACCCTCTGTCTCTTCTCTCTTGTCTCCATCCCCCTGCCCTGTCCAGTTCCATCTGGCTCCTCCTGAAGAACCCCGTGTTCATCCTGCTCTGCCTGGCTGGGGCCACCGAGGCCACGCTCATCGCTGGCATGTCCACGTTCGGCCCCAAGTTCCTCGAGTCCCAATTCAGCCTCAGCACCTCGGAAGCCGCCACCTTGTTTGGTGAGAAAAGTCCCGAACCTCGGGGTGCGCAGCCTCTTCAGCAGCTCTCAGATGAGCAAGGGGTCTTTGAGGGTACCTTCTGGGAACGCCCCGACAGCGCTGCTCCCGTGTGGCCCGCCCAGGCAGGGAGAGCCCGAGCACGAGCATCTGGGCTGTTGGCGAGGCACTGGCACCGTCCTCCCCGAG